AAAAAAAAAAAAAAAAAAAAAAAAGTAACATTCTAAAAATAATTTATCTGTATGTTATGAGTGAAATATAAAGAATATATTAGAAAAATATATAACAAAATATTTAAAGTTTAAAAAAACTACTTTTTTCTTTTAAAATAAAAAAAAAAAAAAAAAAAAAATGGCAAAAAAAAAGAAACAAATACATTTGAATATAATAGATTTACAGAAGTATTATCAAAAAGATGATTTAATAATTGACACAACTGAAAAAATTGTAGATTCTAAAAAAAAAAAAATTTATGAAAAAAATGAAATTGTTGAAAATAGTGATTGGAGAACCTTTGAATCAGATAAAAGAATTAATAAAGATGATAATAAAAATGAAACAAATAAACTGAAAAATTTAACAAATGACAAAAATAATATAAAAAAAAGTGATAGTATTGGTTTAGGTAGAAATAAAAATAAAACAAATGCAGTAAATAATGATGATATAGATTTTTCAAATTTAAGAAACAAAAGAAATGACGATAATTTAGATTTTGCAAATTTAAGAAATAAAAAAAGTAATGAAGATGTAGATTTTGCAAATTTAAGAAATAAGAAAAATGAAGAAAATGTAGATTTTGCAAATTTAAGAAATAAAAAAAGCAATGAAGAATTAGACTTTTCTAATGTAAGAAATAAGAAAAATGATGATATAGATTTCTCAAATGTAAGAAATAAGAAAAATGATGATATAGATTTCTCAAATGTAAGAAATAAAAAAAATGATGATATAGATTTCTCAAATGTAAGAAATAAGAAAAATGATGATGTAGATTTTTCAAATGTAAGAAATAAGAAAAATGATGATATAGATTTCTCAAATGTAAGAAATAAAAAAAATGATGATATAGATTTCTCAAATGTAAGAAATAAGAAAAATGATGATATAGATTTCTCAAATTTAAGAAACAAGAAAAATGAAGAAAATGTAGATTTTTCAAATGTAAGGAACAAAAAAAATGATGATATAGATTTTTCAAATGTAAGAAATAAGAAAAATGATGATATAGATTTCTCAAATGTAAGGAACAAAAAAAATGGTGATATAGATTTTTCAAATATAAGAAATAAAAAGAATGATGAAGATATAGATTTTTCAAACATTAGAAATAAAAGAAACGATGATGATAAAGATTTCGCAAATATAAGAAACAAAAAGGATGATGGTGATATAGATTTTTCAAATATAAGAAATAAAAGAAATGATGATGATATAGATTTCACGAATATAAGAAATAAACAAAATGATAAAGAAGTAATAAAAGGAGTTAATAATACATTGTTTAATAATTCAAAAAAAAAAGAAAATGAAATAAAAGAAAATAAAAAAACAAATGAAAAACCACTTTACTTGAGAAGATTAGAAGAATTAAGAAAAAAAAAAAAACTTGAGCAATATAAAAATAACATGATATCAACTAATGTAATTGAAGAATCACAAAAAAGTGATAAAGAATTAAAAAAGGAAAACGATATTATGGACGAAAAAGAAACAAAAGAAGAGAATAAAGAAGAAGAGACAAAAGAAACAGATAATAATGAAGAGAAAAATATAAAAGAAAAAGAAACAAAAGAAACAGAAAATAAAGAAGTGAATGAAATAAAAGAAAAAGAAATTAAAGAAGAGAATAAAAAAGAGATAGAATATAAAAAAATAAAAGAAACAGAAATAAAAGTAGAAGAGACAAAAGATACAGATAATAAAGAAGAAAAAGAAATAAAAGAAAAAGAAACAAAAGATACAGATAATAAAGAAGAAAAAGAAATAAAAGAAAAAGAAACAAAAGAAGTGAATGTAATAAAAGAAGAAGAGACAAAAGAAATAGATAATAAAGAAGAAAAAGAAATAAAAGAAAAAGAAACAAAAGAAGTGAATGAAATAAAAGAAACAGAAATAAAAAAAAGTGAGATTGAAGAAAAAGAAAATTGTCTGTCAAAAAAAGAGATATGTTTAAATAATGATGGTAAAAAAGAAGAAACTGAGAAAAAAAAATTTATACCTAAAAGAGTTTATATGTATCAGCAAGAATTGAAAGAAAAAGAAGAAAGAAGTTTGAAAATGCTAGAAGAACAAAAAAAATTAAGAGAGATGAGATTACAACTTCTTAAAAGTAAAAATCAAGGAATATCAACATTTATTCCATCTGCAAAGCTAATACATATGGAATCATTAAAAGAAGATAATAAAAAAGAAATTAAAAATGATTTAAAAAATGATAATAAAAAAAGCATTAGTATCTCAAAGAAAAGCAAAAATGATGAATATAATAATGTAAAAAATATCTTTTTAGAAATAGCTGAAAAAACAGAAAATGCAAAAATTATTGAGAAAATGGATATTGAAGAAATTGCAAAAAAAAAAAGAGAAGAAATTTACAAAAAACAGTTAGAAAAAATTAAAAAAAAAAATGAAGAAAATTTAAAATATAATAATATATATAAACATGATTTAGATGTTATTAAAGCTTTTTATAATGAAATCAAGGACAAAATAATAGAAAGCTATCAATTTAATGAAGAAGAAATCGTTAATATATGCTCTATATTAAAAACAGAAAATTGTAATACACATTTAATAAATTTATATAAATAATATTATAATATTTTCTTAATTAAATACTTCTTTTTTTTTTTTTTTTTTTTTTTAGGCAACTACATTGAAAGTCATGTCCCTTTTTATGTGGTTATGTCAGTTTTTATTTTAAGTCTTCCACAAAAAGCCGAATACGATATTTATTTGAAGAAAGCAAAAAATTTGAAAACTTTATTTCTTTATTTGAAACAAGTATAAATTTTTTATTCATTAGAATTAAAATTATTTAATTAAAATTTTTTTATAATTCTTTGTAAATATTTGCTTATGTATTTTTTTTTTTTTTTCAGAATAGCAAAATTGAAAACCATGATAATTATATTTTAAATGACATAATAAAATTTTGTGATGGTAAGAAAAAAAAAAATAAAAGTAAATTAAAACAATTTGTTAAATAGTAATTTTTATTATTCTTATTATCATTTCTTTTTTTTTTTTTTTTAAAGAGTTAAAGTACCCTCACTTATCAGAAGAAACCTCATTAGTTGAAGCAGTTTTTGACTCGTTATTGTTTTCCGGTGTTATTTCAAAAAACTCATTTATAAAAGTAAAAAGAGCAGAACAAATTTACATATAAAAATTATTTTTTTAAATAATTTTTCAAAGTTTATTTTATATATTAAAAAAAATAAATTAAAAAATAAGAAAACAATTCATATAAATATTTGCCCATAATTATTTTTACATATATTGCAAAGGCACTTTATAATTCTGCATATTTTTTTTATTTTTATCAGTGGTTTGAAGAAGATAACTCTGAATCAGAATTAAAAAGCAAAGCTATGTTACAAGTAAGATCCTTTTTTTTATTATTTTATATTATTTTTTTTATTTAATATAAATGAATAAGTAAAAAAAAAAAAAAAATATATTTCTTATATATTTTTTTCATTATCTTCATTTAAATATATTATTTTACCTACAAAATAAGTAAAATATACTTTAAAAGAAGATAAAATAAATTGGCATATTAAATGATATTTATCAAAAAAAAAAAATGAATGATAAAAAAAAAAAGGCATATGCTAACAATTGAAAAAAAATTAAATAAATAGCTTACGATTTTAACTTTTCATTTTCAATATTGTATCTTAACACATTAATTTGTATATATAATTGTAAAATTCTCACTTTTTTCAGCTAATATACTGGCATAAATGGTTAATAGAAGATAGTGAAGAAGAGGATGAAGAGATAGATGAAATAGAAGAAATTAAAACAAATGATATATCCGACATAGAAAAAAATGTACCGAAGAATTTCGTTTTTAAAAAAATAAAAAAGAAATTTTTCTAAGCTGAAATTTCTTTCTCTTTTTTTTTTTTTTTTTTTTTTAAGAACTCTTAAAAACACTAAATTTTTAATATAATTAAATATAAAAATTTATACATATAAACTTAAGTACTCAATAAAAATATATAATATAAAATACAAAAACACATGTATATAAAAATAAAAAATAAATAGAATATACTAATATCTTAAAAAAAAAAAAAAAAAAAAAAAAAAAAAAAAAAAAACCTTGTAATGCACAAGTAAAAATGCACATTAAAAAAAATGAATACATTAAAAATAAATAAATAAATACCAAATTAAAAAAAAATTTAAGCATTATAATTATTTTAAAATAATTAAAACTTTAATATTAAAATATTATTTTTATTAAAATAATTTTCTATTTTTAGAAATATTGGCTTTATATTATTTTATAACATTAACTTTTTTTTTTTTAATTCGTTTGAAGTTGTAATTACTTATTTACAAATTATATTTATATATATATAAAAAAAAAAAAAAAAAAAAATTATAAATAAAAAGAAAAAATGGTGTATACTTTAGTTCTTTTAAGACATGGTTTGTATTTAAAAAGGAAAAAAAGATAAAATAAAAAAAAAAATTAAGATCTTTAGGATTTCAAATTTAAATGATAATTTATTTTTTTGTATTATTTTTTTAAGGTGAGAGTACATGGAATAAAGAAAATAAATTTACAGGATGGACTGATGTTCCATTAAGTGAAAAAGGAGAAGAAGAAGCAATGTAATATAAAAAAACTTAATTATTCTGAATAAAAAAAAAAAAAAAAAAAAGATAGTTATGCTTAAATTTTAATATTCCACGTATATTTTTACTTTTTTTTTTATTTGGTTAAATATTTTTTAGATCTGCTGGTAATTATCTAAAAGAAAAAAATTTTAAATTTGATGTTGTTTACACTTCTGTATTAAAAAGAGCTATTCATACAACTTGGAATGTTTTAAAAACTGCTGACCTTTTGCATGTACCTGTCATAAAAACCTGGAGATTAAATGAGAGACATTATGGATCTCTTCAGGGTTTAAATAAATCTGAAACAGCAAAAAAATATGGAGAAGAACAAGTTAAAATATGGAGAAGATCTTACGATATTCCTCCACCAAAACTAGATAAAGAAGATAGCAGATGGCCTGGACATAATATTGTTTACAAAAATGTACCAAAAGATACCTTACCTTTCACTGAATGTTTAAAAGATACAGTTGAAAGAGTTTTACCATTTTGGTTTGATCATATTGCACCTGATATTTTAGCAAATAAAAAAGTTCTTGTTTCTGCACATGGAAATAGCTTAAGAGGGCTAGTAAAACATTTAGATAGTTTAAGCGAAGCTGATGTATTAGAATTAAACATTCCCACTGGTGTACCTTTAGTTTACGAATTAGATGAAAACTTAAAGCCAATTAAGCATTATTATTTATTAGATAGCGAAGAATTAAAAAAAAAAATGGACGAAGTAGCTAATCAAGGAAAAGCTAAATAGAAGAATAAAGAAAAAAAATAATATCATATAAATTACATATAATTATTTCATATTAATAATTCGAAAAAGTTAAATCTTTTATTTTAACTTTATAAACAAATTAAAAAAAAATATATTATATTTAAAAATTTTTTATTTTTTCACATATTTATTTCTACGTATTTTAATTAAATTCATTATGCTTAAAAAAAAAAAATATATTATTTAGCTTGAATTTTATGACACAAAAAATAATATAAAAAAAATGCATCTAATTTTAATTGAAACTAATAAAATTTACTTCATTTTATATAGCTTAAAAACGTGACATACATTAAAATTAATTACATTAAAATTAATGTTTTAAAACTAACATAATATGACCCATAAGACATTTCTCTAATATGCTGAAGTTTATCATTATGTATGTAATTTTAATAGTAAAATATATATGTAAATATATATCTTCAGTATGATTTTAATTTCACCTTAATTTACAAATTACATAATTTTTTTATCAATTTGAAAACAATTTTCAAAAGAATGTTTATTCATTTTTACTATTTTTTTTTAATTTAATTCACTCCTTAAATAAAAATGGACATAAAAAAAAAAAAAAAAAATTGTGTAATAAGTTTGTTCTTTTTTAATAAAATTTTTTTTCTTTTAAAAAAAGAAAAACGTTATTAAGCATTTTTCAGTTAAATAAATAATAATAAAAGGTGTTATAGATAAAACAATTTTATTGAATATTTTTTTTTTTTTAATTTTATTTTACATTATACATATTAATAGATAAATTTATTTCATATAATAATATGTTTTAAACAAAAATTTTTTTTCACGCATAAATATTTCAATAATTTTTTTTATGGTTTTTTTTTTTTTCTTTTTTTTTTTTTTTTCTGTATTTTATTATATTTATTCTTTTTTTTAAATATACAAAATTTTCTCATTTTTATACATTTATAAAATAAAATTGAGTATGTATTTTGTCTTTCATGTGTGCAAAAATTATTAATGAATAGCTAAATAATTAAGCTTTTTTATTTATAAAAAAAAAAAAAAAAAAAATAATACACTTTAAATTGAACAACTCAGAAAAAAAAGAAGAAAATGATAAAAAAAAAAAAAAAAAAAAAAAGAGAATTATAAAATTTTGAATGAATTTTGACAAAATCAAGAACTCTTTTTTTTCATTTTCGAGTTGTTCTTATAAAAAATAATGGTTGAAGGTTTTTTTTTTTTTTTTTTTTTTTTGCGTAATCATTGATTACATATATATATTTTAATTAAATATTTGTAATTTTTTCAAATGTAGATGTAATACGAATTTGTTATAAAAAAAAGATTATATTTTATTATATGCATTAGTAATTTATATTTATTTTTTTTTTAGATTTTATACAGAATGGTACTATAACGTACTAAATTTAATGAAATATTTGCTTTATGTTTATGATTTTTTTTTAATTTGAAAAATTAATATACAATTTCTTAAAACTATAAAGATAATGTCGTCTTCATTTGGAAAAGTTGTCACTTATTATTTCGCTATAGTATCATTTTTTTCTGCAGTTTTTTTAGCAATTGTTGGTCTTATGCTATTACGTGACTCCGAATCAATAGAACTTCATGGAAAAATATCTGAAAAAGTTAAACCATCTTTCATTGGTGCGGGGGTAAGAGGGGAAAAAGAAAAACAAAAAATATTTATATATATATATATATATATATATATATATATTTACATAATTGAATAAATGTATAAAAGTAAAAAAATATTTAAAATCAAAAATATAAAAAAAAAAAAAAAGTAGACGTACTTTTTATATATTATAAATATTTCTTATAGAAAAAAGTATTTTTATTCTTTAATAAGTATGTCTGTATTAAAATTTATGAAACATATTACATATTCATTGAAACACACAACATTTGAATTATCTTTTATGTTTTTATTCATATTTAAAAGATAAAAATTAATTATTATAAAAGTTTTTTAAATTATAAATAATTATAATTTTATTAATGAAGGAGATAGAAAAATTTAAAAATACTTTTTTATTTTTTTTTATTTTTTTTTTTTTTTTTTCTTTTAGATTTATTTTTGCATATTAATAATAAGTATCATTATGATAATTAGCAGCAATAAAAAATCAAAATGTTTTCAAAATAAAAGCAATTAATAAAGTATCCCATTTTTTATTATATTTTGCACATATATATTATTTTTGTTCTCTTGTTCTTTTTTTTTTTTTTTTTTTCTCTCTTTATATGCATATATTTATACAACTTTTTATTTTTTTTCAAGGAGTTTCTTCTCCATCTTTTTAATTATTTTATATTGAAACATTATATATGATAAAAATTAAAAATAAATTTTAAATTTATTGTTTTTGTCTGAAACTTATATATAATAACTCTTTTTAGTGTAAAAAAAATTTCAATTTTATTAATTTAATAAAAAAAAAAATTTTCATAACACTGAAAAGGTAAATTCTTCATTTGGCTACATTTACTCCATTTTAATAAATTAATATTTTATTTTTTTTTTAAAAAATTATTCAAAATATATTATTTTTTTATTTTATTACACTACATTTTCTGTTTTTTTTTTTTTTTATTATCTTTTTTTTGTATAATATTTTTGACTATTTTTATGTTCACATAACATTTACAATTATTATTTTTTTTATTTATATAATACCATGTTTTATTCATTTCTCTTTTACTTTATTTTATTATATGATCTTATAGAATGTTGCACTAAAAATAGTTGTACATTATTCAAAAAATAAAATACATTAACACAATTGCATATATCTTCACTTAAAATTTTAACCATTTTACGAAGTGCCAATAAATGAATTTCAACTCCTTACAAGCAACCTGTTGTTTTTTTTTTTTTATAATTTTTAAAAAATAATTTATTAATAAACTTTTCTTCCTAAAATTAATAATAGGAAAAAAATTTTGCACAAATAAATATATATATATATATATATATGAAAGAAAAAAAAAAAAAACAATGATAGAGTGGAGATACATGAAAAAATATAAAAATAAAATTATTCACTCAATTTACTTAACATCAAAAACATACATTCCTGTGAGATTTTCATCAAAATATATCAATGTAAAAAATGAAAATAAAATATACTCAAAAAAGAATTTTAATAATATATTAATGCAAAATATAAAAATTACAGATGAGAAAATAATATGTGAAAAAGTTTATTTTTCCAAATACAATTTACCTTATGTTTTAAGTAAAAAAAAAAAATAATACATATATATATATTTTAAAAAAATTTTTTTTTTTTTATATATTTTCTTCTATAACAAATAAATTACAATATAATTGTTTATATGTATACTCTTTTTTTATATCCATACAAAAAATTAAAAATTTATAAAAAAATATAAACATACATAAACTACAAATTTTATATCAGTGTTGTGCTTTTTTTTTTAATAGAGATACCTTTTAGTGATTTAAGATTAATTGATACATATAATAATAATCACAACCCAACTATATTAGTAAGAAAAAATGTGATTTTATTAAGAACTGGTTTTATAAGTTGTATTATTCGATTTAATGAATTATGGCTATTTGATCCGAATAATCCTTTAGTTATAAAAGCAATAAATTTAATTAAAGAGAACTTTAAAAAAAAATGTAATTTAAAAATTGAAGAATGCACAGATGATGTAAAAAATGATGATAATTCGGAAGATAAAAGAAATGATGAAAAAGAAGATATAAATGATTTAAATGTAAAAAATAATTTTTATAGATATAATACAAACAATTTTTTTGAATTTTTATGTTTAGACATATGTATGCAACTATCTTTAAAAGAGTATGAAAACGATATAGATCAAATTAATGGAAAAATTCGAGAAAAAATACAACTACAAAGAAGAGAAGAAAATAATGAAATAAATATGTTAACAAATAAATTATTAAGAGATATGATGAAGATTAAAAACAATTTACAAAAATTATCCAATTTATTAAATGCTCTACGTAGTAATATTGAAAAAATATTAAAAGATGATAATGATATGAAAAATATGTATTTAACATTTTTACATAATAACTATATAAATCAATTAAAAGATCATAGTGATTTAGAAATATTACTTGAAACTCATTTACAATTAACAGATGAACTATATGGAGAATTAGAAAATATTGAAGAAAAAATTACACATTATGAAGAATTAATGAGATTAAATTTAGATTATAATAGAAATAAATTTATTTTATTAAATGCAAAAATTTCTTTTTCTACTTTATTTTGTTCTATTTGTTCAGTTATTACGAGTTTATTTGGAATGAATTTAAAAAATTTTATAGAGAATAATGATTATGCTTTTTTTATTGTTTCTATATTTATTTCAGGTTGGTCTATAATAGGAATATATTTCACTAAGAATATAAATATGTTACTCAAGTTTTTTGATAAATATAAAATAAAATAAAAAAAGAGATCTATAATCATATACACTCTTTAATAAAAATATATGGCAATTTTAAGTTTAGTCTTTATAAAAAACATTTACAAAATATACCAAAAAATAAGATATTAATTATTTAATGTTGTTAAATTCTAAGAGCATCCATCATTCTTTAATTATTTATCATAAGGACAATGTGATTTTTTTTTTTTTTTTAATAATTCATTTCATTGCTGTCTTTACATATATACATATATTTGTTTATTATGAATTCTTATGTGTACCACTTTTTTATTTTTTATTAATATATTATCTGCTTTATAATTTCTTTTAAATTATAAATTACTATTTTTTGTTATTTTTAATTTGGTTACAAATAATTTACAATTATATAGAATAATTTCCTTTTTTCCTTTTTTTTTTTTTTTATTAAATATTCCATAGATATATAAGTTTTTTTTGTAAAAGCTAAATGAAAACATTTATATCTCACCACAAAAAAAACAAAAAAAAAAAAAATTATTTATATATATATTTATATACAAAATAGTATATTATTCATATACAAATAAAACGTTAATAATGAAATAGAATTCGAACTAAATTTTTAGAATTATAATATTGACAAATATTTATATGCGTGTATTTTAGACACATTTATTTTTAGTATATAATTTTTATATAAAAGACATTAGCAAAAAATTTTCATGATATAAAAATCTAAAAAAAAAAATTATATATGCAAAATGTAATTTTATAAAAAATACATGAAAGATAAAAAAAAAAAATATAAAAGGATCAAAGTAAAATATAATATATATAGAAACATTTGAAAAAATGAAAAATTTAAATAATATATATACTCATACAGATGAAAAACATAAATATATCTAAATTAAGAAATGTTGAATATGTTTTATGATTTTTTATTTTTATTAAAATTTTCACAAAGTAATAAAAATTCTTTTATTTTGTGATAAAAAACTACGGTATTTTTTTCTTCAATATCATTATGATCTGCATCTTCAATGGCCCAAAAATTAATTAATGATAAATTATCTAAATTTTTTTTTTCTTCAAAATTTTTCAATGAATTATTTTTGAGGTTTCTTTTTTCAAAATTTTCTTTTAATATATTCATTAAACAAACCGCATGATTAAAAGGTACTTGTTTATCTCTTTTTCCATGCATTAAAAAAATTGGTAAAAGAGATACCTTTTTTAATCTATCTACATTTTTAAAAACATCAAACCATGGTAATTTTTGGTTTTCATAAGGAATTAATAACCTTAACCCACTAGCAAGAGGAGATTGTAAAATACATCCTCCAACTTGTACTTTTTTTAAACTAATCAAATAACAGCTGCAAGCTGTACCTATACTATGCCCATATACAATAATGTTTAATGGATTTATTTTTAACTCTTTTATTAAATGTTTATATACTATTTTTATATTTTTATATATATTTTTTTCGCTTGGTTTTTTGTTACTATAACCATATCCACTGTAATCGTAAGCTAAAATGTTCACATCATTATAAAGTACTAAATTCAAAAAAAAAAGGCACATATGACCAATATCTGTGCTATTTCCATGAGAAAACAAAATTATCTGTTTATTAAAATTTAATGGCTTTCTATAAATTAATATACTTGCTATTTTATTTAAATGTTTTTTTATTAATATGAAATTTATTCCTATATTATTTCTTCTTACTGCTTCATAAAATTCAATACTCTTAACATGATTACAAACAAATTTATTATTCTCAACTAAATATCCTTTTAATGATGGTGGAGAAAAAGCCATTTTTCTTACTATTGATGTTCTTAATCCACTATAATGTAAAATAAATTAAAATATATAATAACATTAATATTTATTTATAAATATTAGTATAAATACACGTATATTTAAAATTAATAAGCCCTACATTATTATAATTCTAAATATTAAAACATATATGTATATTATGTAATAATTTTAAATATTTACACAATGAAAAAAAATTAAAATACCATAAAGTTAAGCATCCAAGAAAGCAAAATAAATATTTTAATTTACTTGATTGTAAAACTACTTCACTGTTCATTTTATCGATATTTTTATTCTCATTTTCCTCATCCCCATTTCTTTCCTTCATATTTTGAATGTCAATATCAAAAGAGATGTTATTCATTTTAACAAAAAACTAGTGAATATAAATCACTTTAATAAGACGTTTAGATTTTGAAACATTAGTATAAAAAAATATAAACAAAAAAAAAATTATTCGATTATGCGTCTTTTTTAATTCTTCTTTAGTTTACATGGTAGTTTTAATTTAACTTACCACTTTTTTTTTCAATATATATTTAATCCTTTTTACTTTACACTTTTTTTTTTTTTTTTTTTTTTGTTTTTTTTATATATATATTTATGTATAAATGAAAATATCAAATCTATTAAAAAGATAATAAAAAATTTTATTTCAATAAAAAAAAAAAAAAAAAAAAAAATTTTAGAGGAGTTTATATTTGATTAAAATTTTAGTTAATCTATCTCTTCAGTACCCATCTAATACTTTATTATAATTAAAATTTCTTGTTTTTACTAATATAAAATTAAATAGAAAAAAAAAAAAATCTAAGTAAAATATAAATATCATTAATTTTATAAAAGATAAATTAAAAAATTACAAAACATTATTTATATAAAAAATATGAATATTTTTATTTTTAACACTATGTACGTTTAAATATTTTTCTTTTGGATGAATTTTAATTTTTTCTCGCTATTTTACTTATCATTAATAACAATAGTAATTAGCATAAAAGGAAATATCTCACTTAAAAAGTACTCAAATAAAGTGATATATAAAAATGATATTATGATCAAAAAAAAAATTTTTTTTAATTGTGCAAAAAAATTATTCTATATAAAAACAAAGCATAGAAGAAATAATTATAAAATTAAAACAAAAAATAAAAATATCATATATAACTATAGTAAAATTAAAATGTATGAAAATATTTATTTAAGTTATTTAAAAAATTACATAGTAGATGAAGAAGAACTAACACAAAAAAAAGAGCATAAAGTTGATGAAGAAAAATGTGACAACATAAAAGAGATAGAAAATTTAATAAGTACAACAATAAGAAAGGAAGAAGAAGATTTATTTGAATTTTTAACTAATGTAAATGAAAAATATAATTTAAAAAGCACATTAAGAGTAGTAGGTGGTTGGGTGAGGGATAAGTTTTTAAGAATTTCTAACGACGACATTGATATAACAGTAGACAATATGAAAGGTGCTGACTTTTGTAATTATATTAAAGAATATATAAAAGAAAAAGAAAATAAAAATTTTAATTTTGGTATTATAAAAATAAATTCTGATCAGTCGAAACATTTAGAAACATCTAGTTTTAATCTATTTAATTTTCAAGTAGATATAGTTAATTTAAGAAATGAAAAATATAGTGAAGAGAGTAGAATTCCTGAAATTGTAATTGGAACACCAGAAGAAGACGCTTTAAGAAGAGATTTCACTGTAAATTCCTTATTTTATAATTTAAAAAATAAAAAAGTTGAAGATTACACAAAAAAAGGGATTTTTCATTTAAAAAATAAAATTATATGTACACCTTTAGATCCGCTCTCTACTTTTCTTGATGATCCTTTAAGAATTATCAGATGTATAAGATTTTGTGGTTCTTTTGATTTTTGTTTAGAAAAGTCTATTTTTAATGTTTTAAAAAATGAAGATATAAAAAATTCTTTTAGTAAAAAAATTTCGAAAAGTAGACTTTCTTCAGAAATTACAAAAATATTTTCTGAAAAATGCAAAAATATTGTTTTATGTTTAACCTTATTAAACTATAGTTCTTATTCTTCTAAAATTTTTAAACTACCATTAGAGTACTTTATTAAGGATCAAGAAAACTTTGAAAAAATAAAAAAAAAAGATAAAATTAATAAAAGTATACATAATTGTGAAGATAATGGTACAAATAAAAAGATTCATGATGATTTTTATGAAACTGAAAAAGAGAAGATAAATAAAAATGATGCAAATAATATTATTAAAAATAATACAAGTGATTTAAATATCCAAAATAATATAAATGATATAAATCAAAATAATACAAAAAATATAATAAATAAAGATATTAATGATGAAAAAAAAAATGAAGAAGCCAGTTGGCTTTTCTATGGTTTAAATTATGTAAAATTTTTTAAAGAAATTGAACATAATTTAACAAAAGAAGTATTTCATGATTTACAATATAAAGAAAATGTAAATTACATATATATATGTTTATTTTTATTGCCATTAAAAAATCATTTTTATTACATAAAAAATTCAAAAACTGAATATGTTGTAGAATATATTATTCGTGAATCATTAAAATTACCATTAAAATATTCAAAATTTTGTGTAAACATTTTCGAAGGTTTTATTCATTTATATCATTTATACAAAAATATTGACTTGCTTAATTTTTTAAAAAATAATATTGATCAAAAAAATAATTTACATATAAAAAGTGATATTGTATTATTTTTAAAAAAAGTAGGTGAAAGATGGAATATAATATTTTTTATATTTTATATATTTCATAAATATAACGAAATAAATAAAAATTATTTAGCCTTCACAATAAATGATATATATCCATCTGACTTTGTTAAAAAATTATATCAATATATTTTGGAAAATAATTTACAAAACTCGTATAAAATTAAACCATTTTTAAAGTGGCCTGATATTAAAAATAACTTTCCACGAATTTCTTCAAATCAAATTAATGAAATCTATGAACAAATAGTAAAAAAAAAAAAAAAAAAAAAAAAAAAATTCGTATATATTGGCTATTTATAACATATTTTACAGCTTTTTTTATTTTATTGTTCATCTAATTTTAACATAATATACATATAAATATTTATTATATTTTTTCAGATACGATTTATGTGTATCCATGGAGAAAATAAAAAAGAATGCATTGAATTTTTAAAAGAACATTTTAAAAAGTATACATAAAATATTTCACATTATTATAATTGTTTTTGGAATTTTAGTTATATATATATGTTTATGCTTTTTTTTTTTTTTTTTTTTTTTTTTCCATATCTCAAATAAGTATTATTTTTTATACTAATTTGAAACAAATTTTTTATATTATTAAAATATTTCCGTTTTGGCTTTAATTATTTTTTCCTCTTCTTCTTTTAATTTTTCTTTATCCTAAAAATGTATTTTTACAAATAATTAAAAACAGAAGAAAAATATTGAAATCTTAAAATTTTAATTAAAAATAAATTTATATAACCTTATCATTAATATTTAAAGATATAATTTTATTACAAATTTTCACAAAATCTTCCCGTGTATTTACTTTTCCTTTTGACTGTATTTCAAAACATAACTTATTAATTTCTTCTTGTGATAAATAAATATAATTACCTTTTTCATCTAAAACGCCATTAATCATGTCTTGTTCTTCTAATTCTTCTAACTTTTCTCTTATATCCTATAAGTAAATAAAATATTTTAATAATCATATAAATTTTGATATGCATTGTTATAAATTATTTTTATGTCACTATTTTTTTTTTTTTTTTTTTTTACGTCAGTTGTAGTTTGAAATTTAACGGATAACTCCTTTATATTTACATACTTTTTTAATTTTATAAAATTCAAGAAGCATGACAATAGTACATCTGATGATAGCCAATCATCTTCATATTTCTTTGATATCATATGTGACTACAAAAGAGTATATATATATGAATATATATATATAGATAGATGTATTTATAAATATATATATGTATTTGAAATTTCTATTGAAAAATATAATACTTTCCATTTTTTTAGCTTTTTTATGTCTCTACTATTTGTCTCATTTGAAAACTAAAAAAAAAAAAAAAAAGAAGAAAAAAAAAAATGTGTCTATATACAATTAATATAAATATATGCATAGGTAAATGAATTACACTCAACATATCAACATTAGTTTTGTGTTTTGTATATTGATATATCTTTTCTTGATTGATTATATCCTCAGTTAATTTTTCTACGTCTTTTTTTTCCTTTTTGTTTTTTAATTGTATATCATTTATAAAAGTATCTTTTATATCAAATCCTTCGTAACTATTCTTTTCAGCCATCTTTTCAATGCCATCTGAATTGTCTATATTTTTTGAATTTATGAAACTTCCTTTTAAACCATTATTTTGTAATATAATTATTTCATTTATATCTTTAAACTCGTTCATTGAATTATATTTTAACTGATTTACTTCACTATCTTTTATACCCACTTTGAATTTATATTTTTCTTTAAGATTTTTAAAATCAAAATTTTCATAATTTAAATAATTCTTTTTATTCTCATTTTTATTATTGTTATCTATTACATCCTTTAATGTTTGTAAATCATTTTCACTTATATCATATTCTTGCTTTTCTTTGTGCTGTCCCGTTTTTTCTCTAATTACATTATTTATATTTAAATTATTTAAATCACCTTGACCGTTTGAATCATCAGTTTTATCAGAATTATTTTTTCTATTATATATGTAATCAACTTCTTCATCATTTTTTTTTTTTTTATGTATATCGACTATTGTACCATCTCTTCTTTTATTTATATCATCTGTATTGTCATTATCACTTTTTCTGTTATTTATATTGTCTCTTTTACAAGAATCATCTTTTATTTTATTTATATTATCTATTTTATCAAGAACTTTTTTTCTTATATTTATATCATATATTTTATCAATGTCTCCTTTATTATTATCCCCCTTATCTATATTATTAATATCTTTTCTTTTATTTAAATTATCCACTTTATTTATATCACTTTTTTTATTATTTCTATCTTTTATTTTATCAGTATCTTTTTTTTTATTAACATTATCTATTTCATCGGTACCTTCTTTTCTTTCATATATGTTATATATTTTGTCAACATCATCTTTTCTTTTATCTGTATTATCCATTTTATATGTACCACTTTTTTTTTCATTTCTATTTTCTATTTTATCACAATCTTCTTTTTCTTTAATTGTATTATTTATTTGATTAACATTTTCTTTTCTTTCTTTTAGATCATTCGTTTCATCAACATCTTCTTTTCTTATATTTTTATTATCCATTATATTATTTCCATACGCTCTCTTATTTGTATTATATATGTTATCATTATTGTCATTCTGCTTATTTAAACAATCCATTTGATTATTATCATCTTTTTCCCTATTCATACCTACTTTATCATAGTATTCTTTACTTTTATTTATAATATGTGTTTTTTCAATATATTCATTTATTTTATTTATATCATTAATGTTGTTAATATTTCCGTTTACTATGTTTACATCATCTATTTTATTATTAATATTTTTACTTGTATATATGTCACTTATTTTGTCATTATTTTCTTTCCATACGTTTATATCTTCAATCTTATCAGTGTCATTTTCTCTTTTATTTATGTCATTTATTCTCTCAGTATCTTCTTTCTTTGCATTTATATCGTCAATCTTATTAGTTTCACTTTTTTCTTTATTTATGTTATTTGTTTTGTCATTATCTTCTTTCCATACGTTTATATCTTCAATCTTATCAATGTCATTTTCTCTTTTATTTATGTCATTTATTCTCTCAGTATCTTCTTTCTTTGCATTCATATCGTCAATCATATTAGTTTCACTTTTTCTTTTATTTATGTCATTTATTTTGTCAATATCTTCTTTCTTTATGCTTATATCATCGATCTCATCAATAGTTCCTTTCCTTATATTTATATCATTCCTTTTGTCAATATCTCCTTTTCTTATATTTATATCGTCAATCTTATTAGTTTCACTTTTTCTTTTATTTATGTCATCTATTTTGTCAATATCTTCTTTTCTTACGTTTATATCGTCAATCTTATTAGTTTCACTTTTTTCTTTATTTATGTTATTTATTTTGTCATTATCTTCTTTTCTTACGTTCATATCTTCAATCTTATCAATATTACTTTTTCTTTTATTTATATCATTTATTTTGTCAATATCTCCTTTTCTTATATGTGTATCGTCAATCTTATCAATATTACTTTTTCTTTTATTTATGTCATTTATTTTGTCAATATCTTCTTTCTTTGCGATTATATCATCGATCTCATCAACAGTTCCTTTCCTTATATTTATATCATTCCTCTTATCAATATCTCCTTTCCTTATGTTTATATCGTCAATCTTATTAGTTTCACTTTTTCTCTTATTTATGTCATTTATTTTGTCAATATCTTCTTTCTTTGTGCTTATATAATCGATATTGTCAACAGTTCCTTTCCTTATATTTATATCATTCCTTTTGTCAATATCTCCTTTTCTTATATTTATATCGTCAATCTTATTAGTTTCACTTTTTCTTTTATTTACGTCATTTATTTTGTCAATATCTTCTTTATTTGCACTTATATCATCGACCTCATCAACAGTTCCTTTCCTTATATTTAAATCATTCCTCTTTTCAATATCTCCTTTCCTTATGTTTATATCTTCTATATTATCAATATCACTTTTCCTTTTATTTATGTCATTTATTTTGTCAATATCTTCTTTCCTTATATTTATATCGTCAATCTTATCATTGTTACTTTTCCTTTTATTTATGTCATTTATTCTCTCAATATCTTCTTTCTTTACATTTATATCGTCAATCTTATTAGTTTCACTTTTCCTTTTATTTATGTCATTTATTCTCTCAATATCTTCTTTCTTTACATTTATATCGTCAATCTTATTAGTTTCACTTTTTCTTTTATTTATATCATTTATTTTGTCAATATCTTCTTTCCTTATGTTTATATCATTTATTTTATTAACATAGCTTTTTCTTTTATTTATATCATTTATTCTCCCAATATCTTCTTTCTTTATATTTATATTGTCTATTTTATCAATATTACTTTTTCTTTTATTTGTATTATTAGCTTTACAAAAATTATTTCCTTTATCATCCTTATGATCAATTTTGTCATTATAACTTTTCCTTTTATTTATATAATCAGCTCTTTGTATATCAGTTGCATTATTTATATAATATATTTTACTAGTGTCGCTCTTCCTTTTATATGTGTTATCAATTTGTTCATTATCATCTTTTATTTTATTAACATCATTTATTTTATAAAAATTATTTTTACTTTTATCTATATCATTAAATTTTTCAGTATAATCTTTTCTTATATTTGTAATATCCATATTACAATTATCTCCTTTCCACTTATTTATATCATCTGTTTTTTCAAAATGATCTTTTCCTTTATTTATGTCATCTATATTGTTAATATCATATCTTCGTTTATCTTCATTATAATTTTTATTAGAGCAACCTTTTTTTTTATTTAAATCATTTATTTTATCCATATCACTTTTTCTTTTATTTATATCATTTATTTTTTCAAGATCACCTTTTTTTTTATTTAAATCATTTAATTTATCCACATCACTTTTTCTTTTATTTATATCATTTATTTTTTCAAGATTACCTTTTTTTTTATATGTGGAATTAATTATTTCAACATTACTTTTCCTTTTGTTTACGTTATCTGTATCTGTTACAGTTTTTCTTTTACTAACATAGTCATTTTTATCATTAACACTTTTTCTTTTATTAATATCTACTTTACTAATGTCTCCTCTTTTTTCATTTATATCATTTTTATTGATATCATTTTTTTTTATAATGTAAACTTTATCACCTTCACTTTTTCTTTTATTCATTTCTACACTTTTACGAATAACATTCTTTTTTTTATTTAAATCGCAATTTTCATTTTTTAGTTGATTATTTTTAATCAAAATTTCATTATTTATTTTTATTTTATAATCAGTTAACTCTTCTCTTTTATCATTTAAAATGTCATCTTTTTTAGAATAATAATTAGAGCTTTCTAATTTTTCATTTGTTTTATCTAATTCGTTATTTAAATAATTTTTAATAGATCCTTTTGGATTATTAATTTTAAATTCATTTACAGATTTATTTTCAGTTGACTGATTATTTCTTAGTTTTTCTCTTAGTAAATCTTCATCATTGATAAATATATTTTCATCAATTTTGTCATTTTCTATATTTACACATTCTTTATAATTTTTTTCTTGATAATTTTTAGATATATTATTCTCATCATCATCTTTCGAGATAGTATTTTTATTAGAATTGATATTTTCTTTATAATTTAAATCAATTACACTTTCACCATCTTTATTTGAAAAACCTTCTTTATAATTTACAGTATTTATACTTTCATTATTATCTAAATTTTCTTGCTTGTTATTATAGTTAATAACATTATTTTTCATGAATTTATTATTTTTATTATTATTTAAAACATCCTCTATGGTATTACTAACTACATTGCTAATATTGAATACACTTTTTTTCTTTACATTATCTTCAGATGTTTTAGTTGCTTTATTAATATAATCATTTAAATTATTGCTACCATAATCATTTTTTAAATTAACTATTGTGGTCTTATTATTACAATTTGAATAATTATCTTTTATTAATTTATCATTTTCGTTATATCCTACATTAACTCTTCTTTCTAATGAATTCATTGCACATATATTTTCATTATGGTTATTTTTCGTATCTTCATTCTCTTTATCAAAATTATTAATTTCTGTAATTTTTTTGTTATTTAATTTATCATCTATATTTATATATGTAAATTTAAAATTTTCTTCTTCATATAAAATTTTTTTTAGCTCTTTGTCTACTAAACTTAATTCTTCTTTAATTTTTTCTAACCTTTCATTTAATTTTAAGTATACTTTTATTTTTTTTTTTTCTTTTAAATATGCTTTATCATAATTATTTTCTTCACTTCTTTCATATATGTCATCATCAAATTCGTTTTTACTTTTTAAAATAGGTTTTGTGTTTATATATATTTTCCTATCAGTAATTTTATCTTTTTCTTCAAATACTTCATCTTCAAAAATTATGTGACCTTTTTTAGAATCTCCTTTTTGTCCTTTTTTTTTTACATTTCTAATAAAATTAACATTAAAAAAAAATTATCACTTTTTTATGAAAAATAAAAAAAAATTATCACTTTTTTATGAAAAATAAAAAAAATTATTTAGTCTATTAAATATATATATTAATTTAGAAAAAAGTTAAATATTTATATGTAAAAAACATTATATATAATATTATTATATTACCTAATTAAAAAAGTAGAAAGTAAGACTAATAATATATTTAAAATTATAAAAGCTAAACTTAAATTAATAGAAAGTTTTATATTAAAAAATTCTAAAATTTCTAATGGCTTATTCATCTTAAAATGAAGGTTTTTACTTTATATATATATATATATATATATATATATATATATTTAAATGTATAAAAAAGTAATTTTTACTTTATTAATTTTTGCAAATAACATCTTTTAAAAATAAAAGAAAATGCAAAAATGAAAAATTTTCTAACAAAGTTACTGTTTCTTCATCCCTTCATTTACTTTTTTTAAATTATAAAAATTAAAACAAATATTTTTTAATATTTATATAAAAATTTAAGAAAGTTAAAAAAATTAAAGAGAAAAATGAAATTTAAGTGCTTCTATTTTTTTTTTTTTTTAAATCTATATATAGGTATTATTATTTTCTATATATGATAAATTTTTTCTAAAAAGGAAACAAAATAGTAAAAAATAAAAATTGACAATATTCTTTTAATAAGATTCATTAAAAGAAAAAAAAAAAAAAAAAAATGAAATAAAAAATATTCCTTTTTCTTATTATATTATCCTCAAATTAAATATACATGTATATATGTCTTTTAAAATACATAAAATGTCTAAAATTTTTTTCTTCTTTATTTAATTTTTTATACTTATATTAAACCTTTTTCTATAATTCTCTATAATCTACTTTCTTTTTTTTTTTTTTTTTTTCAGTT